ACCTCAGGTTAAGGGCTGTCAAATGCCAGGGATATGCTCAGATATATGATCTGCTTCAAGCAGTGGAGGTCAGCATTACTTTTCTCTATGCAAGTTACTACCTGAGCTGAGCCTTCTTCCACCTGTACCTTTTGTCAGTTTTGCTTCTTCTACAACTGCCTCCCAGGGATGTGTCTGGCTGTGGGGATTGTGGCAGATTACATCTTTGTCCCAGTGCCAGGCACCTGGCTTATTTTTTGAAGAAGTCATGTATTTCCCCTCCCCTTTCAAAAGATGAACACTCAATGATGGTGAAGATTTAGTAAAGTAGCTGAATAATCCTCTTGTTACATAGAGTCCGCATCACATTAGGTATAGTAAATAAAGATTATATAGCATTTGAGGTGGACTCCAATTTCATAGTAACAAAGATCTTGTACTTGCAAATTAGATTAAATTTCCAATTTTAACACTGTGGGAACAGAAGTTCAGAATAGGTGTAATACACACACACACACACACACATACACACACACTTCTGCATGTTCCCAGAGTTCCTAACAGAATGGAGGATAGGAACAAGAAACAGTACTACCTGTGTAATCAGGCCCTCTCAGATCTGAGAATAGATATGATTTGTTTGTTTGTTTCCAGGGCTTGGGAAATTTTGCAACTATTCCTACGATTTTTTTTAAATCCTCAAACTCTGAATTAGTTGTGATTTGTGTGATTCTGATGTTCTGAAGTTGGATCTGACACAGTAACAAATGGATTTTTATGTATGTAGAAAAAATAATTCGGGGCCCCTGACACTGGGGAGGGGAGAGGATTTTTCTTTTTCAAGTGTCATTATGTCCTGAAAAAGATTGCAGTTACTAAAGGATTTGAGTTATAATCTAAGTTTAATTTCTCAAAGGATTGTTCTGTTTGGAAACTATTAATGTTATCTTTTAAGTAATGACTGTGTATGCTGAGAAAAAATAGGTTTAAAAGGTCTAAAATTTGGGGAAGATTATTTATAGTTAGTTTGACCCTTAAAGCTATTTCAAAGAAAATAAGTCCCAGGCTGAATTTAGTTACTTAACTGTGACTTCCGTGGCTAGGGAAGATGGCAGTATCCACAGTCTGCTCCTTGTGACTATACCATCACCTTAGGGTTCTTTCTCTCATTGTTAGTCCTTTTCCATCTCATTCATATATATATATATATATGAGATAATGTTGATACTCCTGTTCATACCTTTTTAGGTAATGTTCAAAAGATACAGATTTCCATTCTTGTAGAGAAATGGCAACAGGAGTAGAATAAACAGAAATGCTGTATGCCTTCTACCAGAAAAAAAATAGTTCTGGACAAAAGTGATTCTCCTTTAAAAAGTAGATCACTTTGGAGATAGCAATGAGCAGGAAGGAAGCAGAAAAGGAAACTTACCTGAGGGAAACTGAAACTGAACAAAAAATTTAAGTGATCTCAGAATATTAACACTTGTGGTATAGAATTTGAAAACTACTGAAAATATGTATTTATAAATATTTTTTGACACATGCCCTGTTTAGAGACATTTGTGCCAAAGTTTGTCATCATTTAAATTAGTAATATTTCCCATGGAGTTTTAAAATTTGATTTCTTCTTTTAAAATCTCCTTCAATTTAAAAGAATTGTAAGTGGAGACTGGAGGGATGTCTCAGTAACTACAAGCACGTGCTGCTCTTGTAGAGGACCTGAGTTGGACTTCTAACACTCACATGGCAGCTCATAGCCATGTGTAGCTCCAGTTTCAGGGGATCCAACCTTCTCTGGCCTCCGGGTACTGTGTGTACATGGTGCATATATGTCCATGCTGGCAAAACACTTTTACTCATTAAATAAAATAATAGATAAATTCTCAAGAAGTTGTTAGTGTAACTGGAATAACCTCTGAGACAGACTCCAAAAGCCCCCATTTATGACACCTTATGTCTCCTTATAACCCCAATTTGCTCCAGTTATTGATTAGTTACTTAAGTATTGTTTTTCAAGTAACAATGACTTTGATTCCTTGGTAATAGGATATCAAAATATTTGGAGAAGAATGGGAGGCGGGGGGATGTAAAAAGATTCAATCTCAGTCTTAGTTATTGTGTAGTTATATGGTGAAAATATTTCTATTTATTTTTTCTCTTATTTATAAAGCAAGGTCAATTAGTTGGGTTTTTTTTTTTAATGTCTCCTTTCGAAAAGTTTTGCCTTTTTCTAAATGTCATAGAAATGAAATCATCCAAATGTCGTCTTGGAGTGTCTCCTTGACCAAATATGCAGACTTGAGATTCATCTGTATTGTGTGTTAATTGGTTCAGTTTTATTTCTCCTGCTGCCCACCCAATGTTAGAGAAGTACAAAATGTGTTTTGTATTGAAGAGGTAGAGATATATTGCTTCTGTGTTCAAGGAGTGGGGAACAAGAGGAAAAGTAGTCTTAACAACTGAAAACAAAAAGATGCTTAGTGCCATGATCTGCTGATATGGGGAGGAAACTTTTGCATGTTGGTCCTTCCTTGATGGCTCTGAAGGGAGAAATGGAACTTTGTGAGAGACAAGGACTCGTAACTTCACAAAAATCCAAGTATCTTAGCTGGGCCTGTGCCGTGTAACTGGAACTTGGTGCTGTACTTGAACTCATTTCGTCTCAGTCGTCATTCTGTAGTCTCAAATATTTTTCCTTTTCCTGTCTTTTTTTCTGAAGGTGACTGTGTTTATGAATAAAACTGGCATGTATTTTTTTCCTTTTTTATATTTTTCTGTACTAATTTATGTTATCTAGGTTACAGTGACTTCAGTAAATGAGATAGGATGTGTTTTTCTGTTTTTGTTGTTTTCTGGGAAAATAATTGAATTAATTATTTATTGAATTTTTGGAACCTTTCCTTGGTAAAGTTATCTAAGCATTGTGTTTTCATTGGGTGAAATTTTTTGTTTGTTTGTTTGTTTACCTACTAATTCGGTTTCTTTCAATGTTGTGAGACTCTTGTATTTTTTATTTCTTCTTGAGTCAGTCTTGATAAATTCTGTTTTCTGGAAAGTAATCCATTTCTAAGTTTCAGTTTTATTAATGTGAAGTGGTTTATCAAATCTTGTTTTTTACCTGCGTATGCATACATGTGTGGAAGTCACCGGACATCTTCAGGTAACAGTCCTTACCTCTAACCATGTTTGAGACAGGTTCTCTTGTTCAACTCTGGTCATGCCAGGATAGCTGACCTAGAAGCTTTGAAAGATTTTGCTGCCTCCATCTCCTCTCAGGAATACCTGTGCTACTATGTCTAGTTTTAGTTGGCTTCTGGGGAGCCAAGTACAGGTCTTCAGGCATGCAGAGCAAATGCTTTACCCACTGCATCTTTTGGCCTGCAACATAGTGATATGTTTGGTTTTTTTTCTTATGTTGTCCTTAAATGGTTTACTTGCTTCCCCCCTATTTTGCTTCTTCTTACCAGAAACATACATGATTCCTTTGAAAGAATTAAGCTGATATTTTTCTGTTGTGTGTTGTTTTCCACTTTCATTAAGTATCGGTCCTACTTTTATCACTGTCTTCTATTTTCTTCAGATTAATTTGTTTCTCGGTGCTTTGATCTTTTTTTGTAGCATTTAAACTACTATCCTTCCCTTAGCTCTTAGAAACACTAAGATCAAGGATTCCCTACTTCTTTGCTTTGTAATTGCCTGTTTGTCTTCAACCCATTTTTCTCTGTATGCATTATTAAGTAGCTTTGGATACAGGATTACGAAGATTCTCTTTGGTAATACTATTCTACAGAATCTTTGGCTCTGGCCTGTCATTTCTTGATGCACTCTAGACTACTTTGATGTTTTTTTTTCAGGGTCTCTAGACCCTCGTGTATTTAATAATCATCTTACATGAAATTCATTGGCCAAGAACTCAATGAATAGATTCCTGGTTGCTCCAATCACTGTATCACTGTGTATTCAATAATTCTTGGCAATTGTCAGTCATTTTCTTATTTGTAATCCTGCTTCTTAGGCATTGTTGGTGTTATATACTTAGCCCACCACCAATGACATACCTCCTCCAACGAGGCCACACCTTAGGTACCAAGTATTCAAATATATGAGCCTATGGGGGCCATTCTCATTCAAACCACACTCTATTTCATTGCATTTCCTTTTATTTTTTGTTATAATTTTTCTTTATTCTAAAGAATTCCATGCATATACATACATAGTAAAGTATTTCCCTATTTTTCTCCTTTATCTCCCCTAATATTTCCTAACATGTCCCTGTCCTAACTTTATGACTTTTTTTTTTTTAGTTTGTGGGTGTATTTATTTTTTGTTTTTCTTTCCTTTTGGGGGAGGGAGGGATTTTCGAGACAGGGTTTCTCCATAGCTTTTGGTTCCTGTCCTGGAACTAGCTGTTGTAGACCAGGCTGGCCTCAAACTCACTGAGATCCGCCTGCCTCTGCCTCCCGAGTGCTGGGATTAAAGGCGTGCGCCACCAACACCAGGCTATTTTTTGTTTTGACAGTCCACAAAGTTCAGCTAGTGATGGCTGTATGTGTATGGGTTTGGGATCATTTACTGGAGCACAGGAAATCTTGTAGGAACACCCTCAAAATAGATTGGTTTTCCCTCCTATATCCAATGCCAACTGCCAGTGGCTCCTCGTTAAGGGATGGAGCCTGGCTGGTACGTCCCCATTGTGCTAAGATTTTGGCTGGTTTATGGAGGTCTTAAGGAGGTAACCACACATGCTGTGAGTTCATGAGTGCCATAGCCATTGCACATCCAGAAAACAGCATCTCACAGCACTTCATCTTCTGGCTCTTTCTGTCTCCTTTGCTACAGTTTCTGACTCCTCTTATGTGATGTTCTATTTCCCTTTTTCCAAATCCCTTCTTCTCTTTGAAGATACTTAGAAAAATGATTATTCAAAACAAGTTCCTAATGGATGTTGGTAACTGGAATTTGAGTACTTGCTTCATTTGAATTTATTTCACTTAATAGTTATTTTGTTTGCTTTCCAGGCACTCAGACAAATGGCCTGGACTTCCAGAAACAGCCTGTTCCTGTTGGAGGAGCAATCTCAACAGCCCAGGCCCAGGCTTTCCTTGGACATCTTCACCAGGTAGACAGTTTCACCCGGCCATAGCTGAGAATGCTTGTTAAAGGAGACATAAAATGTTAGGGAAATTATTTCAAATCATGTGTAACTATCCTGCTGAATAATTCATGTAAAATTAATAGTTTCTACATAACTATTGACTTAAAAACTGTGAACAAAAGAGTATTTTGGTAGGACATATATAACAGGTAGGTTACTATTTTCATGAAAATGACCTTGAATCTGTCAAAATTCCCAGTTATCACTACCTTAAAGCCACTGTAATTATGTGACTACTCAGACACTTGCTTGACTGTTAACCTCTTAATTTCAGATTTTTAAAACAACAAGTTTTAACTTAATACCCTGATACCATGTGTTTTCCCCCAATCTAAAATAGAACATGCATTCTGTTCATTTAATTTACATTACCGCTCTTTTCATCAAAATGTTATTAGACTACCAAACTATTTTCTTTATTTTTTTTATATAAAAAAGCTGCTCTATTTGAAAATAGGTAAAAATCTAGGAAAACTATTATCAAGTTTGTTTTTAAATGAAGCAAAGTTGGAATGGTTCATAATTCTTTGCATCTATGTTCAGCTAGTTGCCTGGATCCTTACACAATAGCTTTCGTATTCTATGTTTATTTTCATTATCAGCATTCAGTTTTAATCTTGCATTTATTCTAGTCTAGTTTATAATCTTTCTTCTCCCTTCTTAGTCTTTCTTTAATTTGAAGACATTAATCTTTGAGAGGCTGCAAGATATTAGGAGACAACGAACTCCTTCAATAAATAAATATTTAGTTTTTAAAAACTTAACATTTTTAAGAGTACAGATCAAGAAGTTTTCTCAGTTTGAGTTTGTCTGCTTTCCTGTCATACTGAGTGTTCTTTTTTTTTTTAATTCAGGTTATCCATTTTTGGTAGGATTACAACATAAAAAGTACAGTCTTCACAGTGCTTGCAACAGAAGGCAAATCTCATTACTGATAGCATTAATTACTCAACCTGATCATTTGCTTGACAGGTAGCCCTCCCTCTGAAGTTACTGTTGTACCCTTTGTAATTCTCAGCATCTGTGGAGAAATACTTTATTCTCATTTGGCCTGATAGATAATATGTAGATGACCCTTTTTAAAATTAGGTTGATGTCATGGTTGCCAAATGATGGTTTTCTAATTGCATGTGTGTCCTTACTTTAACATGACTGTGATTTGAACTTTTGAAATACAAGTATTAAATAGTAAGACAGGTTTTTTTTCATGTATGGCTTATAGGGTAGATTCCCTTAACTAGTCCTTTTGTTTATAATGATAAAATCAGTGTGTATTGATAGCTTGTTTTTATGTGTTCTTTTTTTTTTTTTTTTTTTTTTTTTTGGTTTTTCGAGACAGGGTTTCTCTGTGGTTTTGGAGCCTGTCCTGGAACTAGCTCTTGTAGACCAGGCTGGCCTCGAACTCACAGAGATCCGCCTGCCTCTGCCTCCCGAGTGCTGGGATTAAAGGCGTGCGCCACCACCGCCCGGCTTTTATGTGTTCTTTAAAACAGTATGGAAGATATAAGTTAGGTTTTCAGAACTATGACTACAAATGGAGTTTAAATAAGGAGCACCCAACCAGTATACATGTGGCGTGACTGATAGTGCTCATTTAGTGATGATGCTAATTTAGAAGAAATTTCTGCAGTTTTCAGTTGGGGTTGTTGAGTTTGTATGTAAAGTTTTAACCCCATAAAATATTTATTTTTATGTTGAAGTCTAACTCAGTGGTATACATTTTGTATTGAAATTATTTCTTGATGGCATCCTCTAGTGATAAATAACTATTTTATATTATGTCCATTTATTACTTTCCTTCTAGGTTCAGCTTGCTGGGACAAGTTTACAGGCTGCTGCTCAATCTTTAAACGTTCAGGTAAGTTGAAATATGAACACATAGGTTATATCTTCTATTAATTTTTTTCATAACTTATAATGAGCATATAATTTAGAATAGGAACTACTTGTGATTGTTAGTAATTATTAATTTTATTATTTCTATATTTTTATTGCTGAATCCAGTTGGTGATAATTGTCATTGATGAAAATCACCTTAATCTGCTACTGTGTGTGAGCCAGCAGTGGACAAGTGAAAGTTCACTTTCAAAATTTTAGAATCAAGTTCAGGAACTGAACACAAAACTAAATAGCTTATTAAGTATTCTTTTTTCCCAGACTGTTTATCATTTTTCAAGAAACACTGGGCAGAAAGTCAGGGAACTTGGGTTTCAAAATCTCATTGTACCAATAATTACCAGTAATCTTTGGCAAATCACAGCCTCCTGGGTTTCAGTTTTGTTTACCTGTATTTAAATAAAAACATTGATAACACTATAATGATCTTCTCTGATCTAAACAGAAGTAACATTTAAAGACCCTGGAACCATGGCTCGGTGGTTAAGAGGATTTACGGAGGACTCCAGTTTAGTTCCCATACCAGAAGGCTCAGAACCATGTATAACTAACTCCAGGACATCTGACACCCTCTCCTTGCCTCTGTAGGAATCTGCATACACCATGTGCACATACTCTCTCTTTCACACACATGAATAATTTAAAATGATAAAGAATCTTTCTTTTTAAAAAAGCAAGTCATTATTGGTTAGTCAAAATTATAAATCTGGTTTTCTTTTTTCTTTTTTGCTTTACTTTGCTTCTGTAAACCATCAGATAGAAAGACTCAAGGCTCAAGTATTTTGCACAGTTCCTTAACATTTCAGTCAGCCTTTCAGTGTAATGTTTAGGAAACTAACAGTCAGAAGAGAAAGACAGTATTCTAGAAGATTGATTCAGTGCCATTAAAGATTAAAGATTCTGGGTTGAACATTCTATGAAACCTTGTGGAATATGGACCTAGTAACACATAGAAATAAGGAGAAAAAAGGAGATAATGTGACCCCTCTTTCTGAGGGAGAAGAGGCAGAAAATTGCCTTGGTTGCCATGGTAAACTTAATATCCCTTAGAGAGATGTTGGCAAACAGGCTATATCTCCAGTGCAGAATGTTTACAGTCCTGCACTGTAATTATCTTTCAGTGACTGGCAGCATTAATCAGAGCTTTTATGTTAATTAGCTTTGCTGCAATCTCCCAAACAGGTGGTAGAAAATATGCAAATCTATGCAGAATTTTAATATTCTGTATAACCAGTTTTAATTACCATAAAAATTTCTCTCTCTGGCCATTTAAGGACCTATAAATTCTTGACTATATCATTTTCCTTCAAGCTTGTAAATTACTTGGTGGAAGATGCTGCATTTTAGAGTTGTTTTAAAATAGTAGAGAAAAAGTTCTTTGGGTCATATTATTTAACTATAATATAGTATATAAAGAAGTTTGAGACTTGCCACAAGAAATATGTTAGTTTGGAGGGTCTAAAATGAATTTAAAATCATTTTTTTCATTTTCTCTTCATTACCTGAACTGGGAATTTGGGGTTGTGAAAGGTTTTGTTGATTCATGGAGGACCAATTTACTTTTCTGTTAAAAATTTATACCTGCAACTTTTCTGGGATTGGAATAAAAAAGCTGTAAGGGCACTTAAGTAGAAAGAAAAGGCATGTAAAAAAGGAACAGAAAACCCCAAAACTCAAAATTGAATAGCACATATTTTAAATAATTCTTGAATTTTTAGAGTTAAAAGTGCATTTCTTTTAATCACCTACTTGAGATACTTATTTCCTATCCAATCCCACTTCAGTCTAAATCTAGTGAAGAATCGGGGGATTCCCAGCAGCCAAGCCAGCCCTCCCAGCAGCCTTCAGTGCAGTCAGCCATTCCCCAGACCCAGCTAATGCTGGCTGGGGGACAGATAACTGGGGTAAGTTTCCATTGAAAAATTGTACTGAACTTCCTCTGTGTCTAAATTGCCACTGGCTCGTATTGTATTGAAACTCTTTCCCTGCAGCTGGCACTAGCATGGCACCATTTTATCTTTAAGGAACTTCCTGGATACAGAAGCTCTGTAAGAATTACCTTTGTCATTACTTTGCAAGATTTCTTTTATTACAACTGCAGATGTTGAGAATAAACTGCAAATTTTTTAACTCACATTAAAATATGGTATTGCTTCATTGTGCAAGGAAGTCGTTGCCATATGTATGATAAAATTGGAGCTGTGTTGTTGCAGAATAGTTAAACAGTGGGCCAATACCCTGAAAGTAAAACATCTTCTTCAAGTGGCTTTGTAATATCCTAAAATAAAGCATGTGGTCTTATATCCTGTCTGTGTAATTACTTAATTACTAAAGGACTAGTTACTTTATCTCCCTATACCTTAGATTTCCTTCCTCTAAGTGCAAATATTAATAATAACTATTTTAAGTACCATTGCAATTTATATACAGGTCTTAAAACAGTGCTTAGCATGTAACCTTCAATAAGTGGTACTTATTTTTACTGGTAACAGATTGTCCTTCGTGACTGTTAAGCTTTTGTTTAACTATTTAGTGATTTCTGTTCTAAGCTATTATTTGGAATAATTTTTCAATGTTGGAAGCTCATGTGTTTTCTTTTGTGAGGAGAGTGAGTCAAGGGAATGGTAAGAAAAATACTAATCAATTCATATTATATCAACCTTCCGAATTTTTTATATGGACAGCCCTTCTAAGACCTGTTACACATTTATTTATGATACTTCCATCACTAGAGGTTAATATATATACCTGTATCATATCAAATAGAAATATTCACACACATTTTGAAGACTATTGCATTTTTGAATAGTTTTGCTTTGGTTCTTGGGTTTCTAATGCAAATTGTTTGGATAAATTAGATTCTGTTAGGTTAGAAGGCAGGCTGTCCTGCTAAATGACTGTTCATTTGAGATATAGGTATTACCCTACTTGTTCGTTCAGAACATACCATCAAAAGGAAGGTCCAGCATACTTATTACTTTTATGTAAGCATTTTCGAAATGCTATATTATGAAAGTGTAGGTTTTTTCTCAATACAGTTCTTGCATTACTATAAGGGTTTGGTTTTTGGTGACTAGTTAGTAACAAGCACTTAGGATTCTGGCCGGGTTCATGTACCTTCAAGATTTTATTAAATCTGGGCATTAAGATTCATTTGCATTTAAAAGAATGTCTCTTACTGCCTGTTTCCTAGAGTTGGAAAGAGGTTGTAAAGTTGCAAACCAGTGCTTTCTAATGACAGAAAATTGGGTGAAGGAAGGTCCAGTAGGGAGATTTGGATAGAAAAGAAGTACAGTTCATGATTGTTAGTCACATCTAAAACCTACTGGAAATGGTGAGATTTAGTGGGGATTCTAACTAAACAGCTGGACCTTGTCAGTTCTCTTCCTGATCATATTCAGCAGCCTTTTGTCCCTCATTCATCTGACTAATCACTTGCTCTTGGGTATACATTTCTGTGCATATCCTGTCAGCATTGATTCTTTGTTTTTTTTATGTACTGGTTACCTTTCTTGCCTAAATGTTTTTGTCTGAAATAGGGACTATTACTTTAATTTAAATGTTCTGCTAGTACTAGTAGTTTTTGTGGACAGGCTAGCTGCATGTTAGTAATGTCATGAGTAGTGAGGGCTTAATACCACTTGAGTTACCTATTTGAAAGCAGTTCGTTTGCATCATAGGCCCCATTTCTTCAATCCTTCCCTTGTTTGTTCTTATTTTAGCTGACTTTGACACCAGCCCAACAGCAGTTATTACTGCAGCAGGCCCAGGCCCAGGCCCAGCTCCTGGCTGCTGCAGTCCAGCAGCATTCCGCCAGCCAACAGCACAGCGCTGCTGGGGCCACCATCTCAGCCTCTGCTGCCACACCCATGACGCAGATTCCCCTGTCTCAACCTATACAGATTGCACAGGTGAGTGAGGCACAATGTTACAGGGGCAGCAAGCAAGTGATAAAATGGAAATACCTTACTGAGTAGTATTAACCTTCTAGTTGTTACTGTGGGTCTTCAAACGCCCAAGGAACTCTAACTCTAGATCCAGGAGGCATTATTCTTCTTCACTGAGTCAGAAACAATATACTTGTTTGCTAATTTGAGTTGATATTATAAATATATAACTGATTATTTGGACAACTGAATGTTTATGTTAAGCAACAATTCTTGAGTAAGTAGCTGGCATATTTCAGAGGCAAGGGATTACTGATTTTATCTTAATTAGCTAATCATGGCAGGGAAGAATTCTTTCATGTGCTCTACAATAAATGTTGCCACCATGTGAGAAGGATAGCAAGGCTTCTTTCTGCTGTGGAATGAGTAGGACCATGGAGAACTGCAGTAAAATGTTATAGGGTTTCAGTTTTCACGTTTGAAAATAAAATATCAATAGATAATAAGAATTTACATTAAGAATCATAAAGAATAGGATCAAAAAGGAAAATAAGTGAAATCCTTTATCTCAAGGAAATGAAAGGGAGTGTAAGAAGTTATATATGAGATATATGAAGAAGTTTTAAGAACTAAGCAGTTGCCAGGTGGTGGTGGCTCATGCCTTTAATCCCAGTACTCAGAAGGCAGAGGCAGGAGGATTTCTGTGAGTTTGAAGCCAGCCTGGTCTACAAGAGTAGTTCCAGGATAGGCTCCAAAGCTACAGAGAAACCTTGTCTCGGAAGAAGAACTAAGCAAATTGTCTTTATATCTCTCAGTAGAGAAGGGAAGTACATTTAAACTGTAATAAGAGTTTAGCTAGATACTTGAAATGGAATCAAACTAATCTTTATTGCTGTGTGAACAGTCTGTATCAAGATAGTGTTTTGATTTGGGCCATTTTCTTCATCATACAAATTATTTTAGTAAGTAAACTCTGAGACCTTATCTGAAATTGATATAAATAAGATCACTTATACCTTATGAATTCTCAGTTGAGTTGAATAAACTGGTGTCAAATTTCAGGAATTAGGTCTTTGAATTTATCGATGGAAATTTGGATATTCCACTCTCAAATTTTACTTTATAGAGAAAAATTGGGCCAAATATTTAAAAGCTTTCTTAAAGTCCATCTTGAACTTCATTTAGACCAGATCTAAAGGAATAGAATTTATAGAATGAGTACATATTAAAAGGGAATTTATTAGCAATGGCTGTCTCTCAAAGGAAAGACCAAGATCCAGCAGTTGTTCAGTTTGTACATTTGGATGTCTCTGCTATTCTTTATTCTCTCTTGGACTCTTGAAGAAGTAGGTTCTAATACCAGCAGAGGAGTGCCTCAGCAACAGGGTAGATGGACTTAACCAGAGAGAGTGAGAGCAGGTAGACAAGAAGCAAGAGCTTCCTTCTTCTGTGTTCTTTTAAATGGGCCAGATTTACACAGGTCTTATCCCACCTCAAATGATCCAATCAATAAAGTCCCTCACAGCGATGCCCAGCTGCTTGCATTTTAGTTGATTCCAGAGGTGGTGAAGTTGACATCCAAGATTAACCTTCAAAATGGTAGCAGGTAGAAGAGAATTAACTCCAGTTGTCTTCTGACTTCCTTATGTATGTGTGCCATGTGCAAACCCACCACACACTAATAACAATAATAGAGTCTTAAAATTGAAAACAGCCCCCCCAGAACTATAGACATTTATTCTGTATTCATTCATTTTGACAGATATTAGTGACTATTAAAAATTTGGTTTAGCATAAGTCATGATGCTATATACATCATGCCCTCGAAAATAATAACTTTTTGCAGAGGCCATAAGGTTTTTTTGGTTTTGATTTTTGCTATTTTTCTATGTGTGTGAGTCATGACAATTCTCAGTAAAGTCAGTTCTGTTCTTTCACCATGGGCTCTAGGGATCAAACACCAGTTTTCAGTCTTGCAAAGCAAGCACTTTGACTTACTTAGCCTCTCTCTGGCCTGAGACCCAAGGATTTCTCACATAGTGACATAATCCTGGAAGCCAGACTGTTAGGACACGGGGGAAAAACTGCTAAGTATTGTCTCATTGTTACTTGATGTGACAGAAGTCATCATCTAGGAACCTTTTAACTAAGCCAGCTTTCATTTCTGGATCTCTCTAATCTATCTTTTGCTTCTGAGCTTTTAGGATCTTCAACAATTGCAACAGCTTCAACAGCAAAATCTCAACTTGCAGCAGTTTGTGTTGGTGCATCCAACCACCAACTTGCAACCAGCACAGTTTATCATCTCACAGACCCCCCAGGGCCAGCAGGGTAAGCATCTCTTAAAGCTTACTAGCGGTGCAGCAAAGCTGTCCATGTAGTGTTCCAGACTCCTTAACTAACATTTTCCCCAAACAGTGTCCTTATGAGCAGTGCTTTTTTTAAATTTTGGTTTCCAACTACCAGTATTCATGAGAACTGTAAGTAATGATTTAAATAAGGAACATAGGTTACATATATAAGTAAGAATAAAATTTGAGGCCTGAAAGATCAGTAAAGGTTAGCTTATTAATGAATCTTACAGGAAATTTATAGGACTTTAACCTGAAATCACACAGCTTAATCATTTCCAAGGCTCAGTTTATTTGGAAGAATGAAAAGGATAGATTTCTGAGTCCTATTCCCAAAAATTTAACTAGTTCTTTATGGAGTTAAATTTGAATGTGTGATATCTTCGAATTATGTTTTCTGTGGGATATTTAGGTTTAAGCAGAAAAACTACATTAATCATTTGTATTAAGAAAGCTTATTTACACTAAAACTCGGAGAGGCTAGAATAGGTAAGAATAAAGTTAGGAATACTGGTCAGCAGAGTTTTGCAACATCGTGTTGGGATTGATAAAAGCTGAGCTGCTTGTCAGTCAGAAAAGAGAAAATGTGATAAAGCAGAAAGAAAGGACTTGGACCAGGCATGCTGGCACATGCATGCCTCTAATCTTAGCTCTTGGGAATCAGTCAGAGCAAGAGGTTTTCTGAGCTTAAGGCCAGCTTGATTTACATAGTGAAACCCTATCTCAAAATAAATTAAAAACAAAGAAAGGACCTCGTGACCAGTTATATTTGGTCAATTGTAAGGAATAGGCATCTAGGTGATTAAGTTTTTAGGAATCTGTAAGCATTGGTAGGTCATCTAAAGAGAATGTATGCATGGCAATAGGAGAGCTTTAGTGAAACCAACCCATGGATTAGCAGGGATACGTAAGTCTAAAGATGATACCTGGTTTGTGGGTCGGAGCCAGTAAAAAGTGATCATCACAATGAAAGAGAATTCCAAGAGAGAAGGATGAAATAATCTATCTAGACCAGAAAGACTTTCACAGGCCACACCTGAATGAAGAGTGTGTGTGTTTAATTGGTAATTGTTGAGACCTTAAGACTGAAAGAGATCGCTTTTCTTTAGCTTTTTTACAAAGTCCAAGGATATTACTGTCTTTTACATCTGAGCCTTCATAAGATAGTTAAAATAAGAAATGGCTATTCTAATATTTTTGTGTGTGTTTATGTTCTTAGTTTCTTCCTTTCCAATCTTTCATGGGATTGAGATACAGCACATAATGGGAAGGAATATTGGTTGGCTTTAGAGCCTGAAACCTTGGACAAGCTAAGTTTTTTTTCTCTCTCTTTTTTTTTTTTTTTAGTTATTTTATTTAAGAAATGAAAAGAAACTGTCTTTTTTCATTTTACATTTCAATCCCAGTTCCCACTCCCTCTCCTCCTCCCATTCCCTTCACCTACCTTCCCACCCCTTACACCACTCCCCATCCACTCCTCAGAGAGGGTAAGGCACACTGCTTTGGGGAAGGTCCAAGGCCCTCCCTACTATATCTAGGCTGACCAAGGTATCCATCCAAATAGAATGGGTTCCCAAAAAGCCAGGACAAACAGAAGGGATAAATCCTGGTGCCACTGACAGTGGCCCTGCAGTCTGTCACAGCCATACAACTGTGTCCCATTCTTGAAGTTCTGGCTAGAGCAATAAGACAACAAAAGGAGATCAAGGGGATTCAAATTGGAAAGGAGGCTACCTAAGTTTTCTCAATTACATACTTCCCTTCTCATCTTCCCCTTTACTCTTCATCTTTCCCTTTAATTATGGTATGGGTAAATTATATAAAATGTTTTATTAATGTCAGGAAGACCATTGATACGTAGTAAAAAGCATAGGCTGGGGGCTGGAGAGATGGCTCAGAGGTTAAGAGCATTGCCTGCTCTTCCGAAGGTCCTAAGTTCAAATCCCAGCAACCACATGGTGGCTCACAACCATCTGTAATGGGGTCTGGTGCCCTCTTCTGGCCTCCTGGCATATACACAGACAGAATATTGTATACATAATAAATAAATAAATAAATATTTTTTAAAAAAAGCATAGGCTGTAGTCTAAAGCCAAGCTATCTCTCTCTGAAGAAATCTAGTTTTCCTGAGCCTCCATTTTCTTACCTGAAATATGAGAATAATTTTAGTATTTTTGTCCAAAAAATTGTAGGGATTCATTTAGGAAACTTTCTTAAAATTGAGAATATATATCAATTTTTGTCACTATAACCATTGACATCATCATATCAATATCAGCAGCAGTTCATAGATAAAACTTAGAGAATGAGAAGTTTGTTCCTTTATATAGTAAAAATCAGCTTGAAAGTAAACAAGACACAGGAAATGGCTCAGTGGGTAAAGCACTTGCATAAGCATGAGGACCTATGTTCAGATCCCTAACACCCATATCATGCCCTGGAAGGGCTCAAGAAAGAAGCACATATAGGAATAGCAAGTTGGGGGTGGGGGGGGCTAATGTATCTAGCCAAGGCAATTTCAAATGAGAGTACCTACTTATATATATAAGGCAGATACAGAATGAAGAGACTTGACCTAAACCTGACCTCTGCAAATCTGTGTATGTACATACCCATATACATGTGCACTCAGCATCTCACACACAAAGTGATCTAGAACCAGTTTGTACCACTGTTGTTGAGTTGTAATCTTAGTGACATAGGACAGGATCCAGATTTCATCTAATAAGACTAGCCAGCAGTATGAAGGATCAAAGCCTTGAAAAAACTTTATTTTTAGTAGAGTCACTGTGATTAATAGTAACTGGAAATATGTTTCAGTCTTTAGTTTTGTTTCGAGAGGACAAGGATTGATTTCTTAAGATTTTAACAACAACAAAAAAATATTTCTAGTGTGCTGTTAGCCTCCAATTGAGTAATCATTTCTGCTTTTTTGAGGGAGGAATATTGTTAATCTAAAATTTGAAAGTATAGTTTATAACATTGAAAATATTGCTGTGATTATATAAATATTTAAAAACAAGAGAAATAATATTCTCCCAGAATTGATTTTTCTTGGAAAAATTCTCACTAATATGTTTCTGAGTCTGTTTCACTACAACTTGTATTCTGCTTTTTCTACTGTCAGCATTAGTTTTGAAACTAAAGAAACACTCTTGTTTAAAAAAATCTTGAATTTTGTGTTTGTGGTCTCTGTTATTCAGGGCATGGAACAAGAGAAAGGTTTGGTCCTCATGGAAGTGCTAGGCCTCTCCTGGACCCTTTCAGCATCTCAGCTGCTTTTAGTTGGCAGGGAGGGGAAGGGAGGGTTAATATGACTTAAAGTTTCAATTTGTTTAGAATATGCTACTGTGAACTAAAATTAATCATTCAGTATTATAATTTCTGATTAAATATGATTTTCAGTGCTGTTGTCAAAAAGAAACAAAAATCTAACTTTTCTGCTAAACTTTAAAGAAAATCGTTAAAATGTTTGTACTTTCTTCTGTTTAATTTTTCAGTGTTTTATCTTTTGTTTTTTTCTAAATTTAATAAATTAATTCTGATTATTCACATAAATGTAATTTTATTTCACACTAGACAATACTTTTGAGTGTGTTCAAACCCATAAAATCTACAATTATAGTTAATTTGCTTAGCAGTTTGTTGTATATTTACTACGTGGCATATATCACTGTAATTATTCAAGTTATAATTTTCAGCAAGATGAAATCCCCTGCACTTACTAAAAGTCAAAGAGTAGCAAATATAAACAAATGATTTGGATAACAGTATGTCCAAGAAAGGTGGGACAGGGTGTGTGGTCTGAAGAAGGCTGGTCTGGAAAGTCGTGTCTGAACTGAGGGGTGAGGTGGAGACAGCTGCAGCTGGCTGTGGATTTGGATGCTAGCTTTGCAGGCAGTGAAGAATACAGAGAACCTGAGAGGGAGATGAACCTGCCCTAAGCCAAAAAAGGAAGGCCAGTATAGCTAGAGATCAGTGAATGAGTAAAGGTGGTTGGGGAAAAAAAAGGCCTAGGTGGGGTTGAGGAGGTGGCTCACTGGTAAGTCTCTCCACGCAAGCAAAGCTAAGTTCAGATCTATAGAACCCATAGAAATGCTGAGTGAGTGTGGTGCCTCCACCTCTATCTAATTCCAGTGCTTGGAAGACAGAAACAGGATCTCTAGAGCAAGCTATTTCGCTAGACTAGCCTGTCAGAGAGCTTGGAGTTGAGTAGAGAGATCCCTCTTCAGCGAGTAAGGTAGACAGTTATTGAGGAAGACTATACACACTTATATGAAGAAGAAAACAAAAGTAAGCAATACAGGGCCAGATTACTTAGGACTAAACATATTCTATTTTAGGTATAATGGAAGACTACTAGAGTGTTGGATTGGGTTGGTGGCAAGGTCTGGCTATGGAGAATGAGTGGAGCTTAAACCTTATCAGCCTTCAATATGCTGAGGCTACAAGCATGTACCACCCAGCCTGGCTCACTAGTATGATATAACCAAAGAGGTTACCTTAAATACTTTACAAGCTTGAGCTATAGAGAGCCTGGAAAGTTGACTCAGTGGTTAGCACCACAGGTTGCTCTTACAGGGGAGCCAGGTTCATACACATAAAATAATTAAATAAATCTAAAAATATTTTTTAAAAGATTGAACCATAGAAAGACACTTGGGAAAGTATGGTAGTCGTTCAAACATGAATAATTTTTTGCTGAATCTGGCTTTTTTCTTTTTTTTTTTAATTGACTTTTTTTGAGCTCTACATTTTTCTCTGCTCCCCTCCCTGCCTCTCCCCTCTCCTTCAGCCCTCTCCCAACGTCCCAATGGTCCTAGTTTACTCAGGAGATCTTGTCTTTTTCTACTTCCCATGTAGATTAGATCTGTGTATGTCTCAGGGTCCTCATCGTTGTCTAGGTTCTCTGGGATTGTGATTTGTGGGCTGGTTTTCTTTGCTTTATGTTTAAAAACCACTTATGAGTGAGTAAATGTGATAATTGTCTTTCTGGGTCTGGGTTACCTCTCTCAAAATGATGTTCCATCCATTTTCCTGCAAAATTCAAGATGTCGTTATTTTTTTCTGCTGTGTTGTACTCCACTGTGTAAATGTACCACATTTTCCTTATCCATTCTTCGGTTGAGGGCATCTAGGTTGTTTCCAGGTTCTGGCTATGACCAACAAAGCTGCTATGAACATAGTTGAGCACATGTCTTTGTGGCACGATTGAGCATCCTTTGGATATATACCCAAAAGTGGTATTACTGGGTCTTGAGGAGGGTTGTTTCCTAATTTTCTGAGAAATTGCCACACTGACATCCAAAGGGGCTGTACCAGCTTGCACTCCCACCAGCAAGAGAAGCTTGTAACCATGTATATTCAATTTACTTAGTTTTAGCATAGTTGCTTCATAATATAAACAAAAGAAAATCTCGAAAATTTAAATCTATTTAACGTATTGTATTGGAGATCTACATCGTCAAATAAACACCTATGTTAATTTCTTAAATTTAGGCAGTGTTTGCTTACTTACAAACAGATGATAAAATCTGACAGGTTTAATTTTATTATTGTTTTACACATTTCACTGTATCCAAATTTAGTAACTAAGAAAATCAGAAAGATAAGTTAACCCACTGTAACTTACTGTCTCTCATTATGCCTCTGCTCCTAACTCATCATAACCTTATATTTAATATTTCAACATGATTATATTTGAAACTAAGTTCTTAGAGTAAGTTCTTTAATACAAATTTATTCTGGGTTGCTCCTGTATTTATAACATTGCAGAAAACCAAACAACAACAAAATCCTATAGGCTTAAATAATCAACTGAGTATGTACTACAAATACTTCAGGGATTCAAAACAAATTCTCATTATGTTGTCCACCCTGGCCTCCAACTTCGGGGCTTAAGTGACCCTTCTGCCTCCGCCTCCAGAGTAATTGGGACTACAGGCATGCCCATTTATAATCATTTTACTTATCAATAACTTTTAAACTAAAATGGTTCAGTGCAGATGGTTGTTTATATTTCACCTTTATTATCACCAAAGTGGCATGTGCTAAGAACTTGAAAACAGCATCTTCTTCCACTTACAGGATTGCCTGCTTCTTTCAGAAACAGATTCTCTGTCCCCAGATTCCTTAGAGCAGCATTTCTCTACCTGTGGGTCACCACCCCTTTGGGAGTCAAACGACTCTTTCACGGGGGTTGTATATTAGATATCCTGCATATCAGATATTTATATTATGATTCAGAACAGTATCAGAATTACAAGTAGCAATGAAAATAATTTTATAGTTGGGTCACCACAACATGAGGAACCGTATTAAGGGTCATAGCATTAGGAAGATTGAAAATCACTATGATAAAGGATTCTAATGAATTCAGAGTTAAGAAGTTAAATTCATATTTAAAATTCCAGATCCTTTCATTTAGAATAGTTTCTCATATTCTTCCTCTTTGTAGGAAATAAAAGCCTTTCAAAGAACTTACTCAGATTACACAAAAGATATACAAGCTTTGATGTTATGTATTTTCATGCCATCTTGTGTTTAACATGTTAATAGTATTGAATTTTAGGCAAAGAATCAGATGAGTCTGAAGACCAACAAAACTACCAGGAAACCAGTTGGAAACTTTGAGTTTATATTCTTTTTTTATCTCCCTGAAATATTTGGTTTTCACAGGTCTCCTGCAAGCGCAAAATCTTTTAACGCAACTACCTCAGCAAAGCCAAGCCAACCTCCTACAGCCACAGCCAAGCATCACCCTCACCTCCCAGGTCAGTTTTCTCACTCTGTTGTTTTACTAATTGAAAAATGAAACAGAAACACCCACAGTAATAGCAGTCTCAGATGTTTAGAAGCTGACCAAAAACTCAGTGCTGACCTTATTAGCTTGATAAATCAGTACTACCAAATTGATGGAGACTGTTACTTTTCGTTGTCCTTTTTTTACGTTCATAAAGAATAGCCATGTAGATAGTAAATGTGGATGAATTATAGCTGTCTGAACACTGAAATGAAAGGCTGTCATTGTTCCTTTGTCTTTGCTAAAACAGTGAAGGAGCTTGGATTTCTATATTTTTTCAGTACTTAAATGTTATTTTATGTCATTTCCTCAGAAGACTTAACAATCGTAATCATATAGAAAGCACAGTTCTTAGGCATCTGCAAGTTTAATTTCCATGTTTGTCTTTTTATCTAGTGGTGATTGTGACTGTGGTGAGTTTGCCTCCTTCCTCACCCTAATGGCTGACCTTGAATCCTGCTTCCCTGTCCTGACTCTTTCTAAAATGTGGAGGTTGGAGGATGAGAGTGAATGAACGACTCAGTGGTTCTTGCTGAGCAAACAAGAGGATCGGAGATCAGATCCTAAGAAGCACTAAATGCATGCTGAATGAGCATGGTGGCTCCTGTAGTTTCAGTCAGGAGATCTCCTAAGCATTCTGGCTTTTGAAACTAGCCTATTGCCAAGCTTTGGGTGAAGAGTGATCAAGTTAGATCGCTTCATCAGCCTCTGCCTTCCACATGCATATATATACACACCTACACACACACACATGGATGTATATGTATCCACATGTATGCATACTTGCATACATACAAACATGAAAATAAAAATATAATTAAAACTTAATATGTTACCTAATTTCACAGGTTTAAATATTTATAATAATTCTCCATCTTGGTCATTTTGCAAGGGATTAGTTTTTGGTTATTGGGGGTTTTTTTTGTTGTTGTTGTTTTGTTTTGTTTATGTCACTATGACAAATACCTGAGAAAAATAATTTAAAAGTCAAAGGTTTATTTTGACTCATAGCTTTAGTAGCCAGTTACTTGCTATTAACCAGTGACTCTTGTAGCCAAACAATTTATTAAAGGTAGAAAATTAGATCCCATCTGATGTCAGGAATTACTACAAAACCTTAATAATGAATACATGGTATTGGCATATATAAATAAATGTAGGCCAAAGGGATATATCTGTCCAACAGACAGAAATGTAAATAGCAAACTAAGTTTCCAAAGGCACCAAAGGATTCCAGTGGAAATAGAAAGTATTTTTAATATATGATAACTAACAATTGACTATTCATAAGCAAAAGGGGGGTGGAGACCATTCTTATTTCATACCTTATACAAATATTAACTTGAAATGAGTCATAAACCTAAATTTTACAAAGAAAAGTTCATGCCTTTCGGTAAAGCAGTGTTTTCTTAAACAAGACACAAGAAGCCTTAACCATAGAAGAAACAATAAATTTCAGAAAAATTAAAAATTCATCTTAAGGGGCTGGAGAAATGGCTCAGTGATTTAAGAGTACTTCCTACTCTTCCAGAGCACCCACATGGCATCTCATATCTGTCTGTACCTCTAAGATCTGGTAGCCTTACACAGACATACATGCAGGCAAAATACCAATGCAAATAAAATAAACTTATCTAAGAGAATGGGAAGAAAACCAAAGTTAAGAAAAAAGCAGTCTTCAAATAAAATATTTGATAAATGATTCTGTAATCAATATGGGAGTGGGGTGTTTGTTCAGATACTCCAGGAAACCAGAACTTGTTGAATCCCTTAGTGCTGAAGGTTCGGGCAGCTGTGAGCTGCTCAGTGTGCACGCTGGAAACTGAACTTGGGTCCTCTTCAAGAGCAGTATACACTCAGTCATTGAACATTCCAGTGCATGAAGAAAAAAAAGGTGATTGCCAATGAGGATGTGCCTTCACTAGACAGGGTACAGTTATGAAGAATTTGAGACCAAGTATTGATGACAAAGCAAAGCAACTAGATTTCTTATACATTAGTAGTAGTTTTGCAAAATATACCAGCACTTACAAAATTAGTTTGGCATTCACTTAAAAAATAAGCCAGTGGGTGGTGTCACATGCCTTTAATCCCAGTACTGGTGAGGTGATGACAGGCAGACCTTTGTGAGTTCAAGGCCAGCCTGGTCTACAGAGCTCCACAGAGAAACCCTGTCTCTAAATAAATAAATAAACAAACAAAGCAAGCTGCACTTTATAACCCAGTAGTTTTACTCTTTAAAATGAAAGCACAAAGATGTGTATATGAGTGCTTATAATAGATTAATTAATAATTACCCTAATGTATCATCAGATAGTACATTGCATAAACTTCCAAATAGCCATGTGACAGATTGCTATTCAGCAGGAAAAAGAAATGTAGTTCCAATAGCTACAGTGGCATATATGCATTTAAAAAGCCTTATACTAAGTGGCAGCAGCTAGGCTTAAAAGACTGAGTACTGTATGATTTCAGTTTACATAACATTTTAGACAGGAGAGAACTATAGGTATAGAAATCCTATCAGTGCTTGTCAGGAAGAAAGGATTGACACTGAAGACTGATCACATCACAAAGGATTCAGAAGAAATTTGGGGAAGTATGGTAAAAATAATCTATATATTGTGTTTGTAGTTACACAATTATATTCAGCTGCAAAAGCATCAAACTGTATACTACAGTTTTAAGTGGTAAGTTTTTTAATATGCTCAATTCAAAATAAATAAGTTTTGCTGTTTTGACATATACCCACCAGAGACCTCTTTCTGGTCTATATGCTGTGCACATTTAGCAAACTTCATCCTGACTCTTCTCATTAAATGCTGTACTACCATTCTAGATCTGGCCCAATCCGGCCAGGGATTTTAGTAAAATACCAGCTGTTGAAAGGTACCCAAGCTGTTTTTAGTACATTATGATTTGACAAAGAGGCTACTTGATGCTGAAGATGAAGTAATAGTGTTATAGTTGAGACTCACCTCTACCTATCAGCGTTCAACAGTGTGAGATTATAACATATTTGGTGTCATGTGTAGTTCCTCCAAAAAGTGGAATTAAAATTACCCAATGTCAGCATGTTGTGGAGACATGCTTTATTGACTTTCCTAAAGCAAGATAGCAGAGAGATTTGCCCCAATTATTATGTCATGCCTCTTACGTGGTTTTCTGGGTCAGTTAGTTCCCTTGGAGCAAGCGTTAATTATGAGGTCAAGGTCAGGTAATATAAGGCCCATCTAAATTACAAGAAGAAAATCCTAGTTTATAATCTCACCTGGGCTGCTGTTCATAGGAGGGAGGGTTCAACTGGGCAATTAGGATGCAGAATCAGGAGCCCCTCTATTAGTGAACCCCCAGAAGGAAGGTTCTACCCAACACTTAGAAGAGGAGCCTGGTGTTTTAATGATAAGAAAATTTAGTATTTTCTTTAAAAAAGGGAACCAGAGAGATGGCTCAGTAGTTAGGACCTCTGGCTGCCTTCCAGAGGGCATGAGTGTGATTTCTAATACATTTGTCTCTTAGCTCCAGTTCCTGTGAATCCAAAACCCTTTTCTGGCCTATGCAGGCACTGCATGTATATGGTGTACAGCTATACATTGAGGCACAAACATAAAATAAAAAAAAAATTTTAAATACAATAAAAAAGAAAGGAGAATCCCAGACTTAGTTGTTAGCACAAGGGGTAGCATGATGGAATAATAGGACTATGCTCTCATTTCCTAAGATAAAATAAAATAAATTATGTTAAAGTGCAAAAAATAAGGTGTCATATTCTTGGGAAGAATTTTTCTTTTTTACCAGAAGGGATTTCATCACTGAGAAATAACTAAAGTTTTCTTTCTCAAGGCAAGATAGTAGCAATGGGGGAAAGTTCACAGAATTTTATACACACTGAAAAAAAATTAAAAGCTGATTGAATTATTTGTACTAATACGATAAGAAAAGGTTATATATACCATCATATTTGAAGAACTGACCTAAAGTAAGAGTGAGAATATAGATATCATTAATATATGATTGAGACCTGAGTCCAGTACAAGGGAATACAGGTACTAATTGATACATGGAAAGTGTCTTGCTTTGAGTATTGTAAAGAAAAGTATTATGTCAGAAGTGACATGCCGTTTGCTTGCCAATGAACAGAATGCTGTTTTAAACTGAGAACACAAGTCCTTTGTCAAAAACTGTGTGTCATGTGGTGGATCACAGCATCTTGTTTATCAGAAGCATGACATTATTTACCTAGTTGCCAAAAAAGTCCTTCATAAATTTATTTTAAAGAACTTTTTACTGCTGGTGGTAGTACCTGTTTAACCCAAGTACTGTGGAAGTTGAGGCAGTGAAATTACATAGTGAATTCCAGACCAGTCTGGGCTACAGAGTAAGAGCCTTTCTTTTTTAATTGGTAGAGAAGAAGATACTTCTTTGTTTGTATTTGCATTTCTTGAGACTGTCTTTTTTATGTATTTATGTATAAGTTTTATACATTATATTTTGATCATGTTCTTCATTCTCCCAACTCCTCCCCCACAGCCAAACTCACCCAAATTCATGTTCTCATATACACCCAACTTCATGTTCTTTTTCGCTGTTCCTTACTATTTTTTAACTTAAAAAAATCCCATGGAGCCCAGGATGTATTGAGTAGCTAATTGAGCATTGGGCCTGCCCAATATACCAGGTGTCACTTCATTGAAGAAAACTGACTTTCTCCCTGCAGCAAATGCTAATAACTCCTCAGCTTGGAGTGGGACTCTATGCCCACTTTCTCTCTTCCATGCTAGGATTTTGTCTGACTTGGGATCATGTGACTCTTTTTCCTTAAGTTTCCTGTACAGCTATAAGGTTGTATCTTTATTATTCTGTTCCTTGTCCAACAGCCAGCCACCCCAACTCGCACAATAGCCGCAACCCCAATTCAGACACTTCCACAGAGCCAGACAACACCAAAGCGAATTGATACTCCCAGCTTGGAGGAGCCCAGTGACCTTGAGGAGCTTGAGCAATTTGCCAAGACCTTCAAACAAAGACGAATCAAACTTGGATTCACTCAGGTAGGATGACCTCTGATCTAGCTCACTCTCTGTTGCTGTGATAAAACACTAACAAAATCAACTTGTGGAGAAAAAGGCTTTATTCAACTTTCAGTTCTGCCCATCAGTGAGGGAAGCGGAAGCGGAGAGGAACACTGCTGTCTTTTTCCACTGTCCTTAACAGCCCAGGCCCACCTTCCCAGGGATGGCACTGCCCACAGTGTCCTGGGCCCTCTTATATCAATTAGCAATCAAGAAATGTTCTATTGGGGCTGGAGAGATGGCTCAGAGGTTAAGATCACTGGCTATCTAATTCTCAGAAACCACAGGGTGGCTCATGAGATCTGGTGTCCTCTTCTGTCTTGCAGGCATAACACAGTATACATATTTTTAAAAAAACAAAAAAGAGAGAGAGAGATGCTCTATTGATATACCCAAAGGCCAATCTGATAGAGGTAACTGTTCAATTAAAATTCCCTTTTTCCAGATCTGTCCCGTTTGACAACCTATTTTACCATTACAATCTTTTGAGGCTGGCTGTGAATACTTTCTGAGGAGTTGGATGTTTCTCGGTCATACTGATTTTGAGTTTAACATTTACAATTTTAGAATATTGTGTATTTGGTTATGTTATGTCCATACATTTATTTGTGATATAATATTAGGCTAAAAATTTCCAAGTGTGTTTCACAACACAGGCCTCTGAAATTGTATCAGTAAAATGTGTGTTTTAGTAGACCTTGTTAGGGGGGACATGACTATGCTAAGGATTTTGTTAAAGAACATGTAATGATAGAGCTTACACTATACATATGTAAAGTGGAAAGAGTAGGGACTGAAGTCTTTTGAAAGATTTATTTAAAGTTAGTTTGGGGATAGAGAGTGCTCCCCCTCCTTTTAATCTACACTGAGATTAGTCAAGTAAGAATCTATTGAAGATTTTTTTTTAGTAAATTAATCAAACTTCAGATCTTTTAATGTCAGCTAGCAGAGGCTTGAGAAAGTGAAATGAGTGTGCTTTTAATGCCTTAAGCAAGCATTTGGATACACAGCATTTTTTTTCTAAGTGCTGACTCTGACCATACTCCCTAATTAGCCTGTCAAAAACAATGCTTTGAGAGCAGGAAAGGAATTAAATTTTTATTTATGTAAAATGGCTAAAGATCATTAGCTGAAAAAAAATCTTGAAATATGGATTGAGTTGTATATTTATAGAATCAGGAAAAACTGATGTTTTCTTTCCAGAAAAGCTTCCATTCATATGCTTTCTAAATTAGGTTGTGTTGAAAGTACATAATACACCGCCTGCTCTGGTAGATCAAAAATCAAGGTGACTTCACTCTCTACTGTATTCTAGATGTTGTTAGATTTCTTTTATTCCTTTTATTTGAAGATTTATTTTTGCTCAGAGAAACTGTATATTAGGAATTTAAAATAGATACAATTTTACATGAACTACAGTTAGGTTTTTGAGGAGTTTCAGATATAAAGAAACAAAATAAGGAGCTGGTGCTTGCCACCAAGCCTGATGATCTGAGTTTGATCCCCAGAACCTACATGGTGCACCCATACACAGATACATCTGCACACACCTAAACACTTAACACAAAATAGATAAATATAAAACTTTTAATTACAGTTCAGTAACATTTTAGTAATTTTGAAGCACTTAAATGATACTTGTTTTAGACATAGAAATAAAGGTAAACTAGATTGATAGAGATAAATTAATAGACTAAGAATGCTTAACGGTGGCTAGGTTTTGGCTATTAACACATTACACTCTGGGGTTCTTTGATAAACAGTTGCATAAATGCTAAATCAAAGATACTAGATTTTTCAAAATCTTTACCTTTAATCAAATATTGTTTTCCCTTTTCACTTTTTGTGGCATTTGATTCAATATATGACCACTGAATGGATGGAAATCAATCCCTTCCTCTTCCCTTCCTCATCCTTCCTTCCCTTCCTTTTTCTCCTCTCCCCACTTCTCATTCTTCCTCTTCCCACCTGCCCCCATACACACTATACTTCCACCCCAGCAGCTTACTCTGTTTTATGATTTGTTTTGTGTTGTTCTTAGATGACTACTACTACTTATTTTTCAAAATGGCTGATACAGAACTGGGAATGGTTTGCAAATCTTGCCTCATGTATCAGAGTACTTACTGCTGGTACAAGATGGGGAAAATTAGCTACTGAACTTTGTTTTTAGTTCATGTACCTTATTGTAATTATTCAAAAGGAGCTATGTATTCAGTTTATTCGTATTTATATATACATACAGTATTCAGGTTAATTCTTGAGTTAAATCCCTATTCTTTGATTAGATGCATATTGTAAATGGTTATTTTCTAATTATGTGTTTGTTGAAGGAGCTACGGGCTGCGTTTCTGCCGCCCGGCTCCTGGCTGCCTAGCTAGCTTATGCCCCAAAATAACACACAAACTATTCGTATGAACACTGCTTGGCCCATTTGCTCTAGCTTCTTACTGGCTAATTCTTACATCTTGATTACCCATTTCTATTAATGTGTGTAGCACCCCAAGCTGCGCTTACCAGGAAGATTCTAGCCTACGTCCATCCTAGGCCAGAGCTTCATCGCGTCTGCCTCAGAGAGCAGTGGCCTGGCATCTGAGCTCACTTCCTCTTCTTCCCAGCATTCTGTTCTGTTTACTCCACCCACCTATGTTCTAACCCATCAGGGCCAAACAGTTTCTTTATTAATTAACCAATGACCTTCCTCCATCATGTGTTTATCATTTTTTTATAAGCAATGGGTAAGTAATATATGCCATTACGTTATTAGAAATAATATTGTAGTATATAGTATTTTTCAGATGCAGTACATTGATTCATTATTTTCACTGCCCCCTTGCTCCTTCACTCCTTTTGTTCAACTTGTTTAGTAAAGGTCAAAGGGATACAATATAGTTTATATTATATATGTTGAAATCAACTGATTAAAACTGCTTACTTGTATGACGATCCCAAGAACTATACTACTGCTAAACCAAGATGTACCAAATTAATGAAAATTAGCATAGTAAGTGAGGGACCTCTCATAGTAACTTTTAATTGCTGTGAAACATCACCATGACTGAGGCAACTATGACCATCATGGTGGGGAGCATGGTACAAGCAGGCAGGTGTGTGTGTGTGTGTGTGTGTGTGTGTGTGTGTGTGTAAGGGTGGGGGCATCAAATATATGAACCTGTGGGGGACATTCTCATTCAAACCATCATATTCTATTCCCTGGCCCTCATAGGCTTGTAGTCATATCATAATGCAAAATACATTTCTTCCAACTTCAAAATTCCCCATAGTCTTTGAATCTCAAGGATGTTTCAAAGTCCAAAGCCTCTTGTGAGTCTCAAGGCTATCCCCTAATCTGTAACCACCTGTAATACCAACAAGCAGATTACATTTTTCCAACATATAATAGCATAGACTATACATTAAGCATCCCAAAAGAGAAGAATAGGAGGAAATGCAGGATGAGAGCAAGACTTGAAAACCATCAGGTTTCATCAGGGCAAGGTCTCTAGTTCTAGTTTAATGTCAAAGGGCTCAGTTGGTTCTCCACATTTTCTATTACTTCCAGCTTTGTTTGACTGCAATACATTTCTCTCGTGTATCGGACTGATTCTACTCCCTGTGTACAGCTCTCCTTGGCAGACATCCAGGGCTCTGGCATCTCTAATATCTTAAGGTCTCCAACATATTTCAGGCTTCACTTTGATGACTTCATGCAATGGTTTCTAAGGCTTCCATACAGGGACTCTTGTCCCATGCCTGGCTTCATTAACTTTCCTCTATCTCGGAGATCTCAGTGGCTTTCCTTTGTCTCATGATAGATTCCACAACACCTTTATTGTTACATAATTTTTTGACTCTAAAGGAAGAACAACATGGCCAGTGCTGCCAAGTTCTTCTGCCTACTGGTACTGGAATGTGGCCCTTTCTTGAATTAATTTACATAAGCTTTGGTGTGTTGTTACTCTTTAGGAACAAATTAATTCCTTACTTAGTCCTTTTGTTTTTACAAGTTGCAGGCTTTACTAGGTGGAGTCTTGCTCTAAGGCTACTACTCCCTTTATTCCATTTTTCCTTATTTTTTTCATCACAAACCTTGGCTCCAACATTAAATTTCCTGGTGCTCTTTCTTCTCAAACTGTACGTTTTATATTTCCTTTTGCTCTTTTTTATTATAGACCTGTATAAGAATGATCACTAATAACCATATGACAGAATCAATATTAAGCTGTGTTGAAAATCCCCTCTGCCTATAAAATCAGTCTAAAACCTCTTCTATTTAACCTCAGACAGATTCTTAGAACAAGGGCAAAAGCAACCAATTTTTTGCCAAAATTTCACAAGAATCACCTACAGCCTAGTTGCTAATATTGTTCCCTTCTGATACCTCTTGAGCTGGGCCTTTATTGCCCACTTTGCTCTTACCACTACTGTCTTTCGAGCTCCTTTCAAGGATGACCCTACTTACAGCGTTGAACCACTTTCTTAATCAACAGTCCTAATGTCTTAAACATGCTTCCAGAAAACCCACTTCCAGGTACCAACTTCTTTATTGTTATTTTTCTATTGCTGTGAAGAGACATCATGATTAGGGAAATTTATAGAAGAAAGTTTATTGGGGCTTAAAGTTCTAGAATGTGAGTACATTTCCAACATGGTGGGGAGCATGTCAGCAGGCAGTCCTTGTGGTAGACCAGTAGCTAAGAGATCACATCCTGAGACACAACTAAGAGGCAGAGAGAGTTAACTGGAAATGGCATGGGCTTTTGAAAATTCAAAGGTCACACCTCCTAATCCTTTCCAAACAGTTCCACCAAATAGGGGTTAAGTCATTCAAATATTTCAAACTACTACAGGATCTACTGCTTTTTATTGTTTAAAATAATCCTAAGTTTAATGAAATTGTATTACAAATCTCCATTAAGTGAATTTGCTTTTTACTACTATTGTTCCTAGTGGATTAGTAGCACAACTTTATTTATAGCTGACAACTTACTTTATTGGTGGTTGGAGCGGGCAGAGAGGCATGCCTACAGAGGCCAGAAATTTAACTATACTAGCTGGCTAGTGAGCTCCAGAGATCTCTGCATATCTGCATCTCCAGTGCTGGGATTACAGGCACATTATCTGCATTTTCTATAGGTGATAGGGACCTAAATTTGTTTATGCTTGTGGAGCAAGGACTCACTGACTGAGCCTTCCTAGTCTTACGTTATGGCTCCTTAAACTTAAAATAATAACGTGGTTTTTAATAAGCATTTTCCTTATGCTTACTTGTCAAAATTGTTAGGATATTGCAGGCATTTGTGAAAATATTTAGTGAAATATGTAGTTAAAGTGTCAGAAACATTTATTGTCACTTAATGTCATACTCAAAAAATTCCATGTTTTATTTAGCCCCAGATTTCTAGAAAGCCATAATCAAAACAAAATGATGAAGGCACAAATATATGTGGTTCATAAAGTGTAAGTTGAGTCTCTGACATATGGTAGGCACGGTTTGATGGTTCATTAACTGAATGGAGTGGCAATAATAAATATATAAATGAAGATTAATTCATCTATCCATATCTTTAGATACATTTGTATAAAAACAAATAGTATTTCTGCCCCTCTTCACTCTACCTTGGCTCTCTTAAATTTTACTGTAATTAGAAGGAAATTGATTAATATTCTACTTCAATTCTACTTATTCAAAGCCTACATTGAAAAGTCTTTGATTTGTGTTGCCCAGTACCTTCACCACTAATGGCTACTGAATATTTGAAAGGGTAGTAGTGCTGAGAAGGTAAATGTTCGTTTATTTGCTTTTCTGCAATTTAAATTTAAGTAGTCACTTATAAGTAGTGACTAATGGCAGGCATAGTGTATATAGCTTTTGAGGTTAAATATTCAGTATACTTCGTTTTATATTATAGTTCCACATTTGTCTTGAATTTCTTAGTGAAAGGTATTCATAGTTAGATTCTTGGCACATGCTTATAAGCTCAGCACTTGGGAAGCTATGTATAGCATTGTAAGTAAGAATCAGGAGTTCAAACCAGGTACAGCTAAATAACAAACTTAAGGCCACTCTAGGCTTCATGATACCTCTATTTAAATAATAATAGTAGTAGTAAATTAAGATGAAGAAAACCACACTTAACTGCTTTTAAATACATCTTTTCTTTGACTCCACATATAATAGACAATCTGATCTCAAAAATATGGATCTGGGAGATTAAAAGAACTCAGATAATCCCAACTCAGTTATGATCCTAAAGCCAGGGCATAATAGCACAAGCTTAGAATCCTGGCAGTTGAGAAACTGGGGCAGGAAGCTCACAAATTCAAAGTCAGTTCTGGGCTCAACAGATTGGGGCTAGAGAGATTGCTCATTGGTTAAGAGCACTTGCTGTTCTTGTAGAGGACCTAATTTAGTTCCCAGCTTCTTTTTAATGGCTCACAGTGATCTGTAACTCTAGTTCCAGGAGATGTGATGCCTTCTTCTGACCTCTGTAGGCATTGCACACATGTGTTATATATACATACATAAAACCAAAAGATTCATGCACACAAAATAAGTAAAAATCTAAAAAAATAATTAATTAAAAATAATGTTGCAGGTCTGTTGAGAGTTGAGTCTCTCACAGTTGAGTTAGCTGTGCATATTTTGAATGAGAAATGCTGTACTTTTTGCCGTCACTAATCTGGTTGAAATGGTGGTGTGAGTTGTTCAAACTCCATGAGCTTCTCCTATTATCTATAAAATAACTATTAAGATACATCTTTTTAAAACTAGAACAAGAGAGATCCAGCTGGAAGAAAAGCACTAGGTACATTTCAAAGGTGGTAGACTCATGGAGAAAGGCATCTTTTGTAATATATTCAGAGGATCATTGTTCTGTTTCAGTAAGGTTACCAAGTTTCCAGTGCCTATGAAGGTTTAACTAAATGGGTCAAACCTCTCTACTGTGAATTTCTGTCTCTATAATGGCTACAAACGTGGTCTTTTAGAATACCTAGTTTTGTGGCCAACTTTGAAATCTAAACTAAGTAAAAATAGATTTTTTTCACAGCTTCCAGAAATACTTATGAGGAAAACTATAAAGAATGAAGGGTCATTTCTAAATTTTGAAGTGATTTTTATGAAATTTGGTTGGTTCAGAAATTCCTGGTTAAGACTGATGATCTGGTCTCAATCTCCAGTACCTACATGGTAGAAGGAGAGAGCAAACTCCCTCAAGTTGTCCTCTGACCTCAACACGGGCACCATGGCACTCTTGCGTCCACACATACATTAAATGAATAAATGAGTGAATAAATATGCAAGAATAAGAATAACTTGCTGGGCTATCTAAACATCTAATCACTATAAGTGACACAGATAGATTTAAAAGGATACTCAGATTATTTTGGTTGTATTAATGGAGAGGCATTAGTATATCAGAACTTTGAAGATTGAGAATTTGGTATGGTGATTATAATTATATACAGTAACAAGAAGAGACTAAAAATAGAAAGCCCTTGAGGTAATATTGAAGACTTCTGTAATCAGGGCCCTACTGAGATCTCCCTAGAGTTCTGGGCTCTGCTTTGGGGTAAAGTTGATAGAAAAATGGAGTAAATAGAAGATGGCTAATTGTTTTCCTAGAGCAGCAGTTATTGGAATAGAAGTTGGAAACATTAATGACCTGAATCTCTTTTCCTTTCTCCCCTTTTCTGTTTTATATTATTCAGGGTGATGTTGGGCTCGCTATGGGGAAATTATATGGAAATGACTTCAGCCAAACCACCATCTCTCGCTTTGAAGCCTTGAACCTCAGCTTTAAGAACATGTGCAAGTTAAAGCCACTTTTAGAGAAGTGGCTAAATGATGCAGGTAAGTTACAATACTAAGAAATTTCTTCATTGTCCATGGGATTTTACAGGAGGGATTATTCTGTGAACTGAGGTCTTTACTATATTGCTGATAAAACAGAATGTAGAAGCCACTAATCCTATGAGACTTTTATGAATTATGATTATGTAAGTCAGAGAGATATTTCATCTTAATATTCCAGTAATTGCCACATAAATAACAAGCAATAATTGAAGCCTCTTAATGTTTCTGTATTTAAGTCAGGGTTAGGGATGGACATACAGGGTTTGAGAATGAGGATAAGAAGGCCTCTGTGTATGATTCTTGAAGAAAGACAGATTGTCCCTTCCTTGATAGATTGCCAAAGAATTTGTAATATTTGTACTTTTGTTTAAAATGGTCACCTTTCATAGAAAAAAGTTAGGCTTCTGGTCTTGAGTTATTTATTTTCTATTGAGATATCCTTACAGAAATTTTGAATTTTGAGTCACATAATCATAGACTTCAGGAGCTAAAAATGAACCACAAAGATGCCTAACCATGTTGTTTCTATTGTAGATAGATACAAAATTTAGGCCTTTGGATAAAAAGAACTTGAGACACTCCCACACCTCTAGCATAGGGGTGAAGTTTTAGCTAGCTGTTGCTGTTGTTGTTTTTTCAGTCACAGCCAAGAACCACTGATGTGCTCCATCTCAATTTATATGCAGTAGAAAGAAATCTATTGTACCATGCCCTGGCTTGTTCAGCTGTTAAGAAACAATACCCTCTTGTCTTTAAAGAACTTAGAAGTACTCTTTCCCTACTATGTTTGAATTATGTTGAGAAACTGAGAAATCATCTCTGAAATTAAATATTAAATATCCAATGATTTCTGAGAATTTTCTTCCTTTGTATCCTCAGAGCTTATTAACAAACAAAAGAACAGAACTAAAGGAAATATGAGTGAAAAATAGAGCCTTTGTAGTCTCAGAATCAAACCGAAAATGAATGGTGACAAAAGATAATCCTGAGACAGAGAGTGCTAAGAACAACAGTACAGAATTGATGGTAGTGAGCAGTGCTTCAGTGTGAATTATATTACAAATGTCACACTAACATCAAGCCTTAAATATTTGGTCAGTTTTATTCATATATATTATGTATGTGTATCCTTAAGCTCAGCTGTGTTTCCCTGTATTTTTTTCACTCTTATAGAGAACCTCTCATCTGATTCTACAGCATCTAGCCCAAGTGCCCTGAATTCTCCAGGGTTGGGGGCTGAGGGCTTGAATCGTAGGAGGAAAAAACGCACCAGCATAGAGACCAACATCCGTGTGGCCTTAGAGAAGAGTTTCATGGAGGTCAGTGAGGTTGACTTTTCATCTGCATCTGGTTGTGACTGTTGGGGGACTGTAGATACTAAAGCATAGCCTTGTCTTCCTCCGCCCTGGTAGGCATCTTAATATGAAGGAAGTAAGATACTGTACGACTGACACTTGAATACTGCAGGGCTCAAGAGAGACCTTGGTTCTAATTATGTGAGCATTTGGTCGGAGCAGCGTGGAATTAATCCTACAAACTGGAAAAGGTGGGAGAAAAGTACCTCAGGCAGAGCAGTTTCATGAGCATAGGCCTCCAGAGGAAACCATACCTGTTCCAGAAGAAACATGTGTGGTTTGGTTGCCTCAATTTTAGCATCTTTAATGTCTGGAATGGTATTTTAGGGACACAACACTAATGACCTTGAATGTTCTTTTTACGTAGTTCAAGTTAATTCAACAGATACTGGCTTTTAAAAAAAAAAAAAAGGATTCGACCAAAATGAAAGAGCTGTAGAGCTGTGTTTACTTGAGGAAACATTGATTCAGGACTCTGTTGGTTTTGCTTCTTGTTAAAGTGTGGTGGGACACTTCACTTGATTTCAAGATTAAATTGCTGCACTTATGAAATTGTCTTTTTTTTCTTGCCTCAGAAGCATAGTATGAGGTCCAAGGTAGGTAGTAAGCAAAAAGCACTGAGAAATGCATACATTGCTAGTAATATGTAAGTTTGTATTCTTTTGTTAATGTTAAGATTAATAGACCTTAGCCAGGAATGAGGCATTTTAATTCCAGCACCTGGGAAACAGAGTTGGGTGGATCTCTGTAAATTTGAGGTCAGCCTGATCTGCATAGGTCCAGGTTTGATTCCTAACACCTGCATGACAGCTCACAACCATTTCAGGTCCAGGAAATTTAGCACTGACTTCTGGTCTCTGAAGACACTATACAAAAACACAGGCAAAACACTCACACACATAATAAATCTTTAAAAAAAAAAAAAAGAAGAAGAAGAAGAAACAGAAGTGGCGCACGCCTTTATCCCATTACTAGGGAGACAGAAACGCGCATATCTCTGAGTTCAAGGCTAGCCTGGTCTACAGAACGAGTTCCAAGACAGGCTCCAAAGCTACATAGAGAAACCCAGTCTTGGGGGAGAGGGGACGAAGAAAGAGAAAAAAAGATTTTCTAGAGATATAATTCAGATGTAGAGCATTTGTCCCTGGATTCAATCTTCTATGTGACAATATATAAATTGAAATTCTAAAAAGGTGGACTTTTTCCCCCCTCTTAGAATCAAAAGCCTACCTCGGAAGATATCACCTTGATTGCTGAACAGCTCAACATGGAAAAGGAGGTGATTCGTGTTTGGTTTTGTAACCGCCGCCAGAAGGAAAAAAGAATCAATCCACCAAGCAGTGGTGGAACCAGCAGCTCACCTATCAAAGCAATTTTCCCCAGCCCAACCTCATTGGTAAGAATGGGTGTGGAAGAGACAAACTCTTCACAGGCTAAATTGTAGTCTTACAAATGGCCTATTAAGGGAATTCATTTCCTAGCAGATGTCTCTCAGTTCCTGTCTGTTATTGCAATAAGATGCAATGAATGACTATGGCATCTTTGACAAGAGAGCAGCTAATTTCACCTTACACTTTTAGAAGGTGGGTCCTTGATGTTGGAATATAGGGATAGCAGAAAGCTCACATTTTGATCCTCAAGTAGGAGACGTAGAGAGACTGCTGGTGGGATGGTCTTTTGAATCCTCAAAGTCCACCCCAGTGACACACCTCCGCTAAGGTCACACACCTCCTAATCCTTCCTAACTCCCAGCTGGGGACCAAGAATTCAAACATAGGAACCAATGGGAGCCATCATTATTCAAACTATTAACAGTTAAGGAAGTGTGTGTGTGTATGTGTGTAGCATACGTGTTGAATAAATATATAAAATGTCTACTCTTTTTTTTTTTAGTTTTTCAAGACAGGGTTTCTCTGTGGCTTTGGAGCCTGTCCTGGAACTAGCTCTGTAGACCAGGCTGGCCTCGAACTCACAGAGATCCGCCTGCCTCTGCCTCCCAAGTGTTGGGATTAAAGGCATGCGCCACCACTGCCCAGCTAAAATGTCTACTCTTAAATATTTCCAAAATTATGAAATTTTTCATTGTGAACCCAAGAACTTAACGGTTTCCTTTATTTTTTAAGGTAAATAATTTGAATTCTCTTCTGTTTCTTTGCAATTTTTTTCTGTAGCTACTAAGGTTACACTGTGACTATAATGGTAGATTTGCTCCTGATTTCTAGTTACCTAGAAAAAAAAGTTATGTTCCTTCCTGTTCAGTCCCAAAGCCCATTTTAGTAAACTTAGAATTTTTTTATTTTTTTTATTTTTATTTTTTTATTTTTTTGGTTTTTTGAGACAGGATTTCTCTGTGGCTTTGGAGCCTGTCCTGGAACTAGCTCTGTAGACCAGGCTGGTCTCGAACTCACAGAGATCTGCCTGCCTCTGCCTCCCGAGTGCTGGGATTAAAGGCGTGCGCCACCATCGCCCGGCTAAACTTAGATAATTAAGTGACAGCAAATTCTCAGGTATGCATAGTCATCTCAAATCTTCACTCTCAGACAGTAGGTCAGCATTTCATATAGAACCTTATTGAGTCATTTCTTCATTCCCATTAGAACGTTATTCCTAGATGGAAGAGACATGCCGTGGTCATAGGACTCCCTCGTTCACTTTTTCTTCCTTTTAGGATAATTATAGATCACTGCCAGATGATGCCAGACAGGCTTCAAAAGATGGACAGATTGTTAAGTCTGCATTTTTGTTCTTTTTGTTGTTGTTAATCTGCTTTTATTTTATTTTAATATTATTTTATGTTAGTGCCACCCCTTAAGGTTTTGAGACAGGGTTTCTCTGTGTATCCTTGGCTGACTTGAAACTCAACAGATCTGCCTGCCTCTGCTTCCCAGTGCTTGAATTAAAGGCGATGTGGCACCACGCCTGACTCCACAAGGTTTTTAAAACTAAGGTCAGCATTATTTATTAAGTGAAAGTTGTGGGTTATTAAATGGTAAAGTTTTAATTACAAAAATCATAGTCATTAGCTAACAGTTTTGTGTGACTTTTGTTTTTAGGCTTAGCTACCATAGGAAAAAGATAGTGTCTTACAAAATCATAAGATGCTTATCATATTTCAAAAGGAAATGCTAAGGTGTTTTAAAATCTGCTTCACAGCCGAGCAGAGATGGTGCACACCTTTAATCCCAACACTCGGGAGGCAGAGGGAGGTGGATCTCTGAATTTGAGGCCAGCCTGGTCTACAGAGTGAATTGCAGGGCAGCCAGGACTACACAGAGAACCTGTGTCGAAAAACCAAAAGAAAATCTGCTTCACTAGAGCTGAGCGTTGGTTATATACACAAACCTCATTTTTATTAGTTCTTTAAAAATTTCAGTATATTTTGATTCTGTTTTCCCTTCCCCAACTCCTGCAACTCCAAACACACACACACACATACACACACACAACTTGTGTCCCCTTTGTTTTTTTTAAAGCCATCAGGACCAAGTTGTGCTGTCTATGTATTCTTAGGTGTATGATTATCCACTAGAGTATGATTAACTTACCAATGGCCACACCTTAAAGAAACCTCTCCTGCTCCTAACAGATGTGACAGGTAGGAGTTGGAGTTGATGCCCACCTCCCTGCACACTGGGATTTTATCAGTGGGTCCTATGCATGCTGTCACAATTGCTGTGAGTTCATATGTAAAGTGCCCTTCTGTTTCAAGAAAACAGTTTCCTTGTAATCACCCATCTTCCCTGGATCTTAAAATCTTCCCTTTCCCTCTTCTGCAATGATCCCTGAGCCTTGGAAAGAGTGGGTGTAGTATAAATTTCCCTTTCTTTGTTTCTTTGTTGGATTTTTGGTTCTTGAGGACAGGGTTTCTCTATGTTGCCCTGGCTGTTCTGGAACTTACTTTGTAGACCAGGCTGGCCTTGAACTCACAAAGATCCGCCTGCCCCTGCCTCCTGAGTGCTGTGAATAAAGGGGTGCACCACCACTGCCTGGCTAGATGTCCATTTTAGGAACACATGTTCCTAAATCTCCTATTTGTGTAATCTCCATCTAGTTCTTTTTAAAAGGAGCTTGTCTGATGAAGTTGAGAGATGCAATAATCTGTAATGATAATTATTTGGAAGCTGGTTTAATGCTATGTCCATTTAGCGAGTAATATTGGGCCTATGCTCTGTCTAACCCTGGGTCCCTGGCCCCAATAACAGTACACACCTTTAATCTCAGGACTCAGGAGGAAGAAGCAAGTTGATCTCTGTATTGAGGGCCAGCCTAGTCAAGTGAGTTCTAGGCTAGCTACAGCTACATACTAAGTTTTTTTGTTTTGTGGGTTTTTTGGTTTTTTTTGAGACTGGGTTTCATTGTGTTATCCTGGAACTATCTCTGTAGACCAGGCTGGCCTGGAACTCAGAAATCTGTCCGCCTCTGCCTCTGGAGTTAAAGGCGTGCTCCACTATACCTCACCATAAGATTGTCCTTTAAAAAAAAAAACAGGCCAGAGGTGGCCCATTCCTTTAATCCTAGCACTTAGGAGGCAGAGGCAGGAAGATCTTGGGGTTCAAGGCCAGCCTGGTCTACAGAGTGAGTTCTGAGATAGCAAGAGCTACACAGAGAAGCTCTGTCTGGAAAAACAAACAGAAAAAGAGTCTGCTTCACATTCTCTACCATTTAGTTAAGATTAAAAACAAGACAATCATGCAGCCACAAAATCAAAAGTAAAAACAATATAAGCACTGATGCTACCAAATAGTTCTCTTGTTTAGGTAATCTTGACAGTTATACTATTTCTGGCTGATTTATATGTAGTCTGTCTGACTCAATGTTATTCAAATTTAAGGCCCATTTCAGTTCTGCTTATGTTAACATGCATTTTTTTCTTCTTATCTGACCTCTAGGTGGCAACCACTCCAAGCCTTGTGACAAACAGTACAGCAACTACCCTCACAGTCAACCCTGTCCTTCCCTTAACCAGCGCTGCAGTGACTAATCTCTCTCTTACAGGTAAGCAGAAGGCCTGCCAAATCAAGAAGATGCTACTTAAGTTACGAATTGTTTTTTTAAAAAATCTATTTCTAGGGGTCTAGGGAGATTGCTTAGTGAGCATGATCATGAAAACTAGAGTCCAGATACAAAGTGCACACTTAAAAGTCAAGTGGGCTTATCAGCCCATCCCTAATCCCAGTGCTGGGGAAACAGAAAGAGATTCCCCAGAGCAAGCTGGTAGCCAGGCTAGCCAGATGTTCCAGATTCAGTAAAAGACCCTGTCTTGGTAAATAAAGTAGTGAACAACCAAGGAGGACACTAAACATCAATTTCAGGCCTCCTTCCACATACATGCGAACACATAAGCTCTATCTGTGTATGTGTGTAAACTTGAACTTGAGCTCAGCATAGTGTTATTTTAAGACCAGGCCCTGGCTGTCCTTGAACTCAGATTCCACCTGCTTCTACCTCCTGAGTGCTGGGATTAAAGGTGTGCACCACTGGACCAGCTTAAAAAAAGGAAAACGTTTAAAATTGTTTTTTCTTCTGTTAATCCATCTCCTACATTGTTTTCAAACTTAACTTTTTGAAACATCCTTTATTCAGGCGATTCCTTTCTTCGCAAACCTTCAGTAGTAATGTTTTTTTACATTTAAAGAAACATATAAAATCATTTGTATTGAGTATTTCTGTACTAGACCTTTGCCTACCCCACCCAACACATGGGCAAACTCCATCCATATCCCTGTAATTATTTCCTGCCTCTTGAAATACCCATCGTAGTGCTCAGTTCTTGGTCTGATAGTCAGTTCTTGGTGTGATGTTGATAAGCTACTCTGGCTTATGTATCAGTTTCTCTTGGAAGTATTCTTTATCTTCCCCTTCTCCAGGAAGTTAAAAGTTGTCATTTACTCATTATTCAATCTATTTTGACAAATCTGTCTTTCCCAATAGGCTTTGTACTTCTTTTTTGAGGGGCAGGGGTTCAAGACAAATTTTCTCTGTGTAGCCCTGGCTGTCTTGAAATTAGCTCTGTAGACCAAACTGGCCTCGAACTCATAAAGATCTGCCTGCCTTTGCCTCCCTAGTGCTGTGTTTAAAGATGTGCACCATCAACCTGGTGCCTTTGTGTTTACTTCTAACGAAGTAAGTACTGTGCTCTTTCTGATGCCCAGTTTATTGCCTGATATATTCATAATAAAATGAATAAATATTTTCCTTTGGCCTCCTCTGAACAAAACCTTTCCCAAAGCATTTAAAATGATTCAGGATTGTCTCAAATTTTTTATAATACATAAGCTATACTAATTTATTATATGTTTGTAAGCTATTAGATTGCTTTATGATATTTCATGAGCAAATTTAACTTAATTTGGAATTAAAGACTTCTTTATAAATTTATGTTTTAGGTTCATAATGTCTCTTCAGTTATGTGACTTTACCATGCCATAAAAATTCAGTAGATGACTTCATACTGTGTTTCTAAGCCATTAGAAAATGTTAGGTTTTTATGTAATATAAACAGCACTTTGTGAACTCTTGACTGTTAAGCCTCATTGAGAATTTCATCTCATAAAATAGGCATACACAGTTTTTAAAAACTTAAGTGACACTATTCCTGGGAAGAAGACGTGAACAAAAACATCTGTCTACCTTAGATTGTAAACCAATGACAGACCAGAGTAAGGGTACCACAGAGTCCAACTTGGTGTTTCTTACAGGAATATGGGTGAGAGAGTAGTTAGAGGAGCAGAAATGTACTCAAAGTCAGCTACATCACCTAAAGCCCACCCCAGCATGGGACAACTCACAAAAGCTGGGAATGTGGACTGCAGTACACAGCCTGCAGATTTTGACAGGTTGCAGTGTGTCCTCTCTAAGCCGCTCAGCTTATTTCTGTTTCTTTTGGGTGGCTTGGCTGAGTGTCTCTCAGCAAGTTCTTATATATGCTTGCTGTGGGAGGGCCCTAGTGTATCTGGTCAGTTTCAGGGACTTCTAGAAGCTTTGGGTTGTTTACTTCCTGAGCTTAAAGAACTTCTTCTCTACCAGATGGACTGTTTGTAAACTCCTTTTAGAACACCCTGTGCTTTAACGAGCTTCACTCCACAGTAGAGGCTTATCTCAGAGGAAATTGCTCCCCAGTGCACTAACACTTCACCAAAGCAGGTACTTTGTTTGCTTGTTACCTACACTTGAATCCTCAATTTCTCAGTTGGATTTCTTTCTTTTCTTTGAGTAGTTGATAATATTAACTCAGCTCATATGCAAGATCTGAAGAGAGATGGGCAAGCCCACTGCCAGAGCTAGTGTATGAACAGTTCCATAATAATCAGTCTCTTCTCCATTCTCCTTCTCCTGCCTTGATGTATGGCAACTCTGAGTTTGTACTTCTCTTGGAGCTCCAACAAAGGGATTAATTCCCACCTCAATCATAACCTTCTCCTTCACTAACTGTCCTCTGATTGGTTTCTCTACCACTACTCGTTTTGTCCTCTTTCCCATCCCTGGAAATCTCATTACTTTGTATATTTCTTTACTGCCATTTGGAATGAGGTTTAAGAAACATGGAAAAATATTTTCTCCGTCTACCACTTTATAATAAAACGTGATTTTTTTTTTTCTCCATAAAGGGTTTTTCTGTAGCTTTGGCGCCTGCCCTGGAACTAGCTCTTTTGTAGACCAGGCTGGCCCCCAAACTCACAGAGATCCTCCTGCCTCTGCCTTCCAAGTGCTGGGATTAAGGGTGTGCTCCACCACTGCTGGCTACTTGTTAAATGATGTATTTGTCTTCACTTTTTCATGTGCTTAGCACATAAACAGTCCTGGCAAACACTTCTAGAGTGGATATAAGATAGCACTCCTCCAGAAAGAAGTACCTCAAAACTACAGTCACCTATGAGTGTTCTGTCTCCAGTTATCTTTCTAAAATGTTTCATAATGTATTTCTCAGGAAGATAATAGCAATTTGAATTAGTTACCTAACAATGGAGGTCCAAGATACAGGTAGGAAAAATGAACAGAATTAAAAGAAATGGATAGTTCAACAATACTCCACTTGTAATGATTAATTTGAACTATGTCAAAATATTATCAAAGATATGCAATACTTGAAAATTATCAACCAATTATGACCTAGCTATCATGCCTGTGTAAAAACTACCTTTTCAAGTTTACCTGGGACATCCTTCTTTCAAGACACTTTCAACCAGGAAACACGGCTTAGTAAACTAAAGGGTTAAAATCATAGAGTGTGTCTGTATTTTAATTTATGTGTATTTGTGTTTTGTCTCCCTGTATGTCTGTGTGAGGCAGTCAGAGCCTCTGGACTGGAGTCACAGAAATCCACCACACCCTGCTATGTTGTCTTTATAGAAATCAACAGGAAAAAAAAAAAACTTGACAAATCTTGGTTATTTGGAAATTAACATATGGTCAAGACCCTGTGAATTTAAAGAATTAAAATCGTGTAATATATATTGTCCTTTTAGAAATCAACAACAAATATTTGTGGTATCCTCAAATATTTGGAAATTAAATTGGAAGTTTATGCCAAAGAAAAAAATCAAGAAATTAAGAAAAATGTTAAAATTGAAAATGAAGCATCACAGACGCAGTAGTGATGCAGTGTGATCCAAGCAGGGAGGGCCAGTCATCAGGACAGCCAGTCCCCATTGACAGAGACACCAGAGAAACAGTTAAGCTTCTGGGAGTATAGGTAGGAATCAACTGCATACCTATGACTGTAACCCTTGGCAAGAAGAGAATTAGTGCAAGGCTAGCTTAGGCAAATAGTGAGACCCTCTCTTGAAAAAAATTAAAAAATCATCATATAGAAAAAATTAGTCCCAATGTAAGCAGAAAGGGCAAATGACAAGAATTACAGCAAAAAATAATGAAGTAAGTCAGGGGAAAAGCAATGCAACTAAAAATTAACAAATTCATCTGCAATCAAGAAAAAAGAAAACAATGTATATCATCAAAATCAGTAACTAACAGAACCAGAATAACAGTGTGGTGTCCCACATCTTTAATCCAAGCACTCAGGAGCCAGAGGCAAGTGGATATCTAAATTCAAAACCAGTCTGGTATGCATAATGAGATTCGGGACAGCTAGGGCTACATAGAACCTGCCTCAGAAACAAACAAAAAACATAATGAAAATGTTATAATTAGGATATAGTTCATGATTTTGTTTTGTTGTGTTTTGAGATGGGGCTATCCTTGACCTCAATCCTATTTTAGCCTCCCAAATAGCTAGAATTAAAGGCACATGTTCAGCTTATAGCTCACATTTTTTAGTATATAATTTTAAGTGTTCAATGGGTTTTGATATACTGAAAACATGTGGAACTGTTATAATTACCTAATATTGGAATAATTCCATCACTTCAGAGAATAAGTCCGTAAATTATTAGTCCTCCCCCTATCCAGGCATTATTCTTCTACTCTATCTCATTGTATCGCCTACTTTGAGCATTTATAGAAATGAATTCATATAAGTAAGTGGCCCTTTCAGTGTGTCAGACTTCTTTCATTTAGCGTGTTTTCTAACTTTATCAATATTGTAAAATATATAAGTACTTCCCTTTCAGTGCTGAATGGCATTCCATTCGGTGGATGTGCAGCATTTTGTTTACTATCTATGAGTCAATAGCATTGAAGTAGTAGCAGGTTTTAGCTATTTTTAGTACTACTGCTGTGAATTTCATATTCAGGTTTGTGTGTAAGCATGTATTTTCAATTCTTTAGGGTTTATACTTAGAACTGCTGTACAATGTGGCAAATTGGAGTTCTTGGGACAACTTTTCTCTAAACAAAGAGCATGTAGATTGAAATGACATATAACTTAGGAACTAACAGATTGTCAATAGACCAAAAGCAGTTGAGCAATAATTAATTAAAAACTTAACAAATAAAAGCCCAACCCCTGATGATTTTAATAGTGTTCTGTGGAACTTTTTGTTATTAATTTCTTTCTTTTTTTTTTTTTTTGGTTTTTCGAGACAGGGTTTCTCTGT